CACTACGGCATGGTAAAAATTGCATGATATGAAAGACTAAGTAAGTTAAGCATAGACATCACGTTGTAAAGTCATTAGGTTAATTGGAAGCAGAAAAGATGAAAAATATGCAACCGCATTCGCCGGGAATTGAACCACGGACCTCTGGAATACCGGCCCAGCGTGCTACCGTTACACCACGAAGGCACGTTAGAGGCACGTAGGAGAAATACCTTATAACGTTACTAACAGAATTTTCATGCTTATAATCTTAAAATATATCACTAATTTATACGTTAATCTCTTGAATGTACAAAAAGTAATCAGCTTAGAACCGCCATGACAGGTTTTAATATATTTTGCACATGCTCATATGGAAGAACACCTAATTCATCATCTGTTTTATACGACATGAAAAAAAGGGGTACGTAATTTACTAGTTAGTAGAATATAGATGCTCATTTTGGAAACTTTTAGTTTTAAAAGCTTTAAAAAAAAAAAAAAAAAAAAAAAAAAAAACACCTCTACGGACAACAACAACAACAACAACAACAAACAAACAAACAAACAAAAAAAAAAAATCATTTTGGCATACTGCCATATCAGAATGTCTCCTTTACGTCTTGTGCCAGCCCATGTACTCCATTATGATTCGTTTGACAAAAGATGCATCGATATTTTCCTCACAAAATAATTAAAAAAATTTTAACTTATTATTCAAAAAATAGAAATAAGTACTTCAAAATTACTTACTCAATTATTAGTACTGTCTGTATACAAATCTTAATACAAATTCATTACTTTTCATGTGATATATTAACGTGATATTCCTTTTTGGTTTAAATGTGGGGATAATCACACTACATGCGAGTTATTAACGAACCGTCTGACAGCTCCTTAATTAAGAGAAGCTAGAGTATTATCAAGCATCTCAGAACTAGAAATATACTTTTAGCTATATGGGAACTCATATATTTTGCAATGGCGACTGACTGCATTTGCGAACACTACGCACATAGGAAAAATCCACCTACAGAGGAACTTTAATATCTGCAATGGAAACTATTAGGCAGGATCTATTTCTCCGTTTTATATATCGTTCATGGGCTGCAATACTGAAACAACTCGAAGAAATATGAATTTTTAGTAAAATCGTCAGTGGTAGCATCGATATATATTTTAGTTCAGAACCGCATTATTAGATCACAGTATCCTCTGTGTTTTACTCTTTCGTCTCCCCTCTACATTGGCTGCAATACTGGCATTTCTTAAATTACGTTACTTTATTGGTATAATATATCTCACAGATGTCAGAATTTTGTTGTAAATATTAATAGTGACATTGTATACTTCAAACACGTTTCTCTATTAAAATTAGAAAAACAAATCATTGGATTATTTCTTCTATAAGTCTACTTTTAAATAAACAAATTTTGAAACTGCCAATGTGAAAGCTTGTAGACTCAAGAAAAGTTTGCTCTCCTTCAAGAAAGCAAGACAGAAGAAAGCTTACAATAAATGCTTTGCAATATTCTGATCTTAATAGACATAGTCATAAGATTCACAGATACAGGATACTAGGAATGTATTTAAATCGTGACATGTATATAATTTGAATTTCCGTTAGCTCACGAGAAAAGGAAGTAATTATGTGTTAAATTTCTTTTAGACTTCAAGTCTAAAATATATTTTAGTTATAATATTTTATTATTTTATTGTGCTCTTTTAGCATTCCGGGTCTCTAGAGAATTATTAGAGACTGTCACCTCACATATTTCATGTAGGTAATTTTAGAATTTAAATCAATCTACTGCCTTAAAAGGCTAAAATACGTACGGTTATTTAAAATGCCTTCCTTGTAAAACATTCTTAGCCCATAAGAAGTTATTAGTTCCGAAATGGAATTTTGCGTCGATTCATGATAAAATACGGAGTTTCAATTTTCATTCGAGTCTGTTGCCATTCGGCAGAATATAAGATGTTTATTTTTTAAACTAAATTTGTCTGTTGTGGATTAAGAAACTAAGCTGTCTGAAAGCAATAGATGCAGTTTTTAAGAACATTTGTTTCGTACTTTTTAATCGAATCGATTTAAGTTACAAAAATGCATTTAACACATAATCTATGTAATTAAAAATACAGTCAATACTAGAAGGACTTTATATGTTTTTTATTATTTATTTATTTATTATTATATTTTGTAAAATTTAATAAATTGCTTACTAACAGAACGATTTGAAAGAGAGCAGTAGCAACTCTAAAAGGAAAAAATTATTTTTATTTCCAGCGTACGAGACTGTCTCTTGAACGTTTTATAGCTATAATGCTTTAAATATTTTGTGAATAGTATTATATGTGATGTAAATCACATAAATTTCAGGCACATAAATATGTAAGAATTTTATGTAACATGATATTTAATGAATAAAGATAAAATACAAAATATTCTTAAAATGACCATAAAAAATGTTTTTTAAGGCATCTTATTAAAACTAAACATTGATATGATGCACTGAGAAAAAATTGAAAAATCTATACCAACACTACATCGTAATTTTAAATATATGCTGCTTTTTTTAATTTTTGTGATTTTGTATTTGTCATAAGTGCGAAGAAAACAATGTTAATAAAAAAGCTAAAAAGACAAAAAAAGTGTGTTAGCAGGAGTATGCGTAACAACAGATTGGTCCACTGCAATCTCAGCGAGAGCGTAAAAAATCTTAACAAACCTTTTGGGGCGACCATTAAAATCTGAAATATTTCAGATATTTTTTCTTTTTAAGGAGTACATTTTTTTTTTCTTTTCAGTTGAATAATACAGATTTTGAGTGTCTTTTATCAATGCCTAGGGAGCATTGATAAAAGAGACTCAAAACCTATATTAGAAGAATATAGAAAGTATTAAAAATTCTTAGAAGAGAAGAGAAGCATTAAAAGTTCTTTCATACTTCTCTTTAATTCAGTGCTATTTGTTTGTGTATACACTAAATGATATTATAAACCAAATTTTCTTGTTCCAAGTAGCGGCTAACAAGATTGTAACAACGTTTTAGACTGTTTTCTATATTACTCTCTTCTATTATATCTGTGTTATATTCTCTTCTCTAGTATTTAGTCTAAGCAATATCTCATTTATTTTTAAAGTTGACATTTTAAAGTTGAAAGACATTTTAAAGTTGTATAATTTCATATAATTATTGAGAACTACAATATGCACACGAATACTTAATACGACCCATTTACACCGCAAATGACCACGTTACCCTCATTTTTGTAAATCATGTAAATCAAAGTAAGCACAGGCACCTTTTTACAGATACTGCAGTACAATTTAATATAAAACCAATAATTGCATAAAAAGAAGTAAATTAGTAAATCTTAATTGGTAAGTTCTCAATTTCAAGTCTTCTCTGATGCATAATTTCTAACCTGCCACTCTTACTGGAGGACTTCTGGGAGAAGTATTTTGGTATTACGTCAGAATCCTCCTGTGCAGGATAGAGTCGTAGTTTTTACTTTCGGATATTACATATACTTTCACTGTGCAATAACATTGTCGCATAGATACATGATAATTTTCTTATGTGTAATTGTACAAAATTTTGTTTAGTATTTTTACATTTTCTAGAAGATTTTCTTGCAGATTTTAAGTACGTTTATATACATATGGGAATAGTGAGTGTATTTCTTATTTAAATAAACATTTATTTACTTACATTGGTATCACACCCATTTACTAATGTAGAATGTAGTTCAGTTTGAATGGAATTATATGAAAAGAGCCCAAACATGGCGGACAAAATAGGCTTGATATTTTTGAAGCAAGACAGATTTGTCCAAAAACCATTTTGAATTGTTATGAAGGCTGGCCACCGTGATTAGGATGTAATTGAGGAGCATTGCGGTTTATTTCCCTGTTCCTGTTTATTTGTTTATTTTATCTAGTTTTCTTATACATTCCTTTTTGGGATCTACCCTCTTATTATATAGTTCATTGACCAACATGATCTAGTGATGCACCAGAAGACAATTTTAAAGTTCAAACCTCATGCCAATTTCTTTTGATTACACAAAGAATGGAGATTTGCCTTCCTTTAACTTTTATATCTTCAGCATTTCAATCAAAGGAATTCTTAGTTAAACAGTTTTGCCAATTTTGATGTTTCTTCTAGCATAGATGTGGTGTAAATCTTCGCGTTTTACTAGCCGTGTCAGAAACAAGATTTCTAAACTTCAGATTGTGAAGTAGTATACGGAACTGAAGAAACATGCTGTCTTTCAGATACATTTTTAATATAATATGTATTAAGCATCGATATCATTTCATGGCTTACTTATATATGATACATACAATTTCGTTCCAAATATATATGATAATGGTTTCATAACAAAGTATCTCCTAAACAGCGTATTATTGCATGTGATAACATGTGAGCTGATAATCTTGTAGGTTTGAATTGGGTGTTTTAAATTGTGTCAATTTTCAGTTTTAGTGGAGTTGGCGAAATTATTAGATATAGTATTTTCTATTTTCTATTTTCTCGCGACAGAAGGTCATTCGACATCGTAGTCTTCATTGGATTTCACTCACAACTGAATAGGCTGTCTGGTTTGGATACATATTGATGATTTTCTACTTGAGGTAACTTTCTGAAAGGATTTAACAACTTTCGTCAAGAAGGTGCGAGCGATGATAGCTTTCCGAAACGAAATTTACTTCATGTAATTTGAGAAATAAATTGCTTTTCTTTACTTCTAAATTTAGCGATATGACAAAAAATATTATTTGTAAACTTGAATATAAAATGATTAATTATGAGAACTTATCTTCCTGTCCTACATTAATACTGCAAAAATTGCAACACCGGATTGGAAAAAATAAGATCGCAGATTAGAAAAGAATTCCATATATTCCCAATGAAAATAAAAATAAATTATTACCACCTAATTGCAGTTGGTGATTCTAATACGGCATGTTTCGTCTTCACGAAGCCTAATTATAGCATGCGTCTATGTTTCAGGATGAAGGGAATACTCCAGAAAAGAATACTTGTACACAGTCCTCTGCGCAACAAATAATGTGTAAGCATAAAAGCATCCAATTCCATATTTCGTAAATCTAGCAGTGCCTCCAGTCTTGTTTTAACTCTTAAGAAGAACCTGAACATTTCATCACTGCTATACAAAGGTGAGATGTGCATAGAATTAATGTATCGTTACATTTTTGTCTCTGTTGATATTTCTATTTATTCAGTTATTTCCAGTTTATTGCTTCCATATTTGTATTATTTACATGACATTATACTCTGTGAGCAGCAATATTACTCAAATTCTCCTTCATCAGGTTAACAGCTGATAATTTATCCCTTTGGAAGTTTAGATTATATGGTCTGGCATCGATGAGGTATAATGGTTCGTAATGGATCAACCATAGCTCGCTGACGATGACACACTAATGATTGTTCTAAGTAGCGATGGTATATTGATGTTCATTATTATCAACCAGCTTTAAATTTATATTTTCAGTAGCAATGCAAGTTGGAAAAAATTTAATTTGGCTAGTAATTCTCTAAAATACGAAAATGCTATAAAAGGATAATAGTAGTTCAGTTATAAAGAGCAATACATTTTGTAGCCGTAAGAAAAGGAAATTTTATAGGGTGAGCATCGCGAAAATTTGCGGCGTTGACACTAAGAATTCAGCATTAGGAATCATGATAATCTTTTATAAGTCTAGCATACACTAAGTAGGGATACAAATAATAAATAATGTATAAAGAATAATGTATAAATATTACACATTTCTTTAACTGATGTTTGTTTAAACGAATAAAATTTTGACAATGCTATCCACGTAGTTATATCACATCTAAATTTCCATATAATTAGACAGCGTTGTTTGAAACCTATTTCGCGTACGCAGATTTTCTGATGTATCATGCTTTTTGTTGTCTTGTCATTCGCTTTTAAACTTCATAAATATTTTTTAAGCATCGGTACTGTTTGTGGGTATGAATGACTTAATATGACTTACGAAACACTATTCTACAAGTTTAGTAATTGTTTTAACACAAAATTCTTTTGCAGTCGTTTCAAACGAATGAAACTCATTTACTGGTTTGTACTTTTGTTGCTACACAGGAATGTAATTTAAAAAGAGCAAATCGTATTCTTGCTTAAAAAATTCAAGGATCTAAAACTAATAAAGTTCAAACGTGCAACATGCTTTGAAGACGAATAAAGTTGGCAGGTGAAAGCGAGGTTTTAAATTTTCAAACAAAAATGCCTGATTTTTAACTCAAAAAGTAGAATGAATTCTTTTTGTAATCAGGTTTAAAGTTCTCGGATTTAAGGCTCAAAGTTCCAGATTTGGATTGTAGAATAGAATAATCTGCAATGTATTTTCACGTAAGTTCTATTGGTATAGTACTGATTGTTACTAATTTAATTTATGTAAATATACTTTTTAAATATGAAAAATAGCCTAAGAAGTGTAACCGAAATTATAAAATGAAAGGGATTCATGAGAACATGAGATCCGGGAATATATTTGGTTACGGCGAGAATCAGTGTGTTCGCGACAACATTTAAATTTATTGCGAAAATTCATGCCGCGATTTGTTTGACATACGTTGCAATTAAGAATGGTTATAAGTTAATTTAAGAATTAGTATTAACTTCACACGCTCATAACTAAAATTTGCGGTAAATGTTTTGAATGGACGAATAAGCGTGATGGGAAAATGCGATATATAGAAAAGCGTAAATTTAAATGTTAAAAAATAAGAATAATTGTCGTACGTTTTCTGTTTTTTAAACGGTGCTACTTTGGTAGACGGTTGCACGGATTTTTGGCGATTTGCTTTGGCGCAATTATTGGCGCGGTTTTTACAATCCTCAGCCATCTTGAAAAAATGCTGTTTTTATGCATTTAATGTTTTTAGGTATTCGAAATGCTGTTTTTATGTATTCAAAACTTTAAAAACATAAATATTATTAAAGATAGTGGAGTAATTTTTTGCTGAAAACGTTGTTTTGTAAGATGGCAGACAAATGTAAATAAATACATTTACTGCGTGTATAAAATACTAAAGTAAGATTAAACTATTACTTTCAAATAGCAAAGAAATAGAATAAAAACACCGCTATAAAACATTGCGGTAACGTTTAATTGGATTAAAATACTTTAATTGAATATCGAATTAAAACCATCATACCAACGTTTTAAAAGAATTAAAATATTACTTAAATTCAAATACTTTAAAATAAGTAAATAAGAACGCTTCGTACACTAGAGCTAAAATGACAGCAATTAGAAGTTTACTGCCGGTAAAAAGTTGGAATGTCTAATTTTTATTTTACCGTGACCACAATACCATACACGGCCGTCCTCAGAATCGGCTCTTTTAACGATCTTCATCTATGATGCATATTTCTCGCATTTCATTGAAGAAGCAATTAGTGAGATTTCCTCTAAAAATTTAAAATAAATTTCCTCTGACCCTTGTAACAATTTAGAAGTAAATCTTTGGTTAGGAAAACCAGGTTGGCCAAAATAAGGTCTCAAAGGACAATTTTTTGATCCCGATACCAATAATTCTTGGTACTTATTAATAACAACATTAATCTTTGAAAAGAACATATCCGTTCGCTATGGAATCTAAGGAATTCGAAGAGATGAATAGATGAATAATAAAATTTAAAAATATCGCGGTAATGCACAAATATTCAGTAACAAATAAAGGGAGCTGATTACATCACGCATAGAATTAAAATTATTTAAATAATCATACATAATAAAATAATTTTAAAAAAATGCATAATTAAATTGTAATTTAATATTTAACAGTCATTAATGATAAATTTATAGATATTAAAATCAATAACTTTTAAAGTAAGGTGACGTCATTGATTACATCATCCACAACATAAAATTATATAAAATATCATAAGCAAAAAAATTTTTATTTCAAATAAAATTGCAAAATTAAATTCATTTTTAATATTTAGAAGCCATAAATAGTATTTAAAACGCGGAATTTATGCATAATAAAACGCATTATTTTTTAAATAAAATGACAACAAAGTATCGGTTACCATAAATAACTTGTCGAGCAATAGGTTTACCATAAGTCGTATTGCTCGCCAAAGAACATTTCGCCAAAAATCCGTGCAACCGTCTACCAAAGTAGCACCTTTTAAACGATACAAATCGCTCATTAATTGCTACTCTCTTGGGTAAAAGCAATATATTTTTTACATTCATTCCTGAAGCTTTATTAATATGGTTACAATCATTCGCTTTGACTTGAATATGCCCCTATTTTTTCGATAACTCGTCGTCATTTAGAAGGTAATTTCATTATGCCACTTTTGCAAAATGACTTGTCCTCAGTGGCAAAAAACTGACATAGCCAGTTTTCACATGCTTCTCTTGAGGCCAATTTTACACCACTGAATACGTTTATCATAGACAAAAACAGATGATAATCGCTTGGTACCAGGTCTCAACTATAAGGTGTATGCATGAGAACCTCCTAACTAAGCTAACTCAGCTTCTGGCTGGGTCATCATGACCGTGCGAGGTCTGGCATTGTCCTGGTGGAAAGCAATGTTTCTGCTATTAGCCAGTTCTGGCCTCTTTTGATCGATTACTGCTTTCAATTTGTCCAGTTGCTGGTAATAGAGGTCCGAATTGAGTGTCTGGCCACTGGAGAGCAGCTCATAGTAAAGGATTCCCTTCCAATCCCACCAAACACACAGTAAGACTTTCCGGCCCCCCCCCCACTCAGTCCTTCTTTGGTCACCATTTGGTTGCTTCCCCGGCCTTCAACCATGGACATTATAATTTGAAATTTTCTTATGCGACCCATTCCTCGTCGCTATTTATTATTATTAGTCCAAAGGGGCTTTGTTCCTGAAGGACTATTGTTTTCATTTTGTGATTTTGCGTCGATTTACTACAAACGGTGGATCACTTTTCAAACTGTTGCCACAAAGTATTAGCGTCCTGTATTATATTTAAAGAAATTACATAATAAAAATTTGCATAATGTATTATTTTCTCGCATTGAGATAAAACACGTACTAAGCCGCCGAATTTTGAATAACGTAATTCTTCTACGAATATGGGCATGTGGAAGACCAAATTTGAAAATTGGAATTTGTTTTATTATCAATTTTCTATTTTGTAAAACTTAAACGAATTTTTGATTAACAAACTTAAGAATTTTGAAGCGAAGAATGGCAACGATGTACAGAAAACACATTTTAATCTCCATCACGAAAGTCTCTGTATCGGAAATTCTAAAGATATGCTCATTTTAAAACTATTTTGCGATATGGCTGTTGAACTGAGTTTTATGGTTTAAGTGCGAAGAACGTGATATTTAATAAATTAACGTAACACTCAAAATGTTAAAAAAACGCCCCTTTGGACGTAATTTAAAATCTGAAACATTTCAGATTTTCTTTCTTTTTCTTTTCTTTTAGTTATTTTTTAATTTTTACTCATATAACCTACAGCTAATTGTTTTCTCTTTTTTTAGATATGAAAAGATTAAACAAAATTATCCGACATGGAACGTAAGTTACAAAAAGTATTGGAGAATGGATTGAGAGTCTGAATATTATACTCAAGTATAAATGGATAAATTTCTTTCAGCTTTTTAAATTGAACAAAAATAAAATATATACCTTCGAAGCAATAAAAAAACTTACATCAGAAATGGCTCGATTTCATTCCGTTTGGCCAAGAATTCGCAGATAGTAACACGATTTATCAAGTTTTCTTCCGCCAGCTAGTGTGGTACCAAACATCAAGTTTCTTTTTCAACCCAGCTTTATGCAAATGATTTTTAACTGTTGTGTGGTCGATCTTCAGTTCCTGGGCGATGCTACGGCAGCTCTCATGCCGGTCTACTTCAACCATTTCAAAGATTTTATCGACATTTTCGACGATAGGTCTTCCAGTGCGTGGTGCATCTTTCACATCAAAATTACCGGAACGGAATTCATAAAATTAAAATTGCGCTTGACTGACTGTCCCAGTATGGGGACTATGAACACAATTTCAGCTGCCTGCCTTTCTTTTTCACCTTTATCGAAGTAAAATTGTGAAGCACACCTATTTTTCTTTGTTTACCTCCATATTTAACGCTCTGACTCACGTTTTCTAGCAAACACAAGAAACGACAAACTGTTTTGTAGAGAAATCTCTGTCTTCAACGAGTATAAGTTTGACCCGATAGCATGAATACAAAACAAAATATATGCCATTAACTCCATCTAGCGAAGAAATAATGGATTACTTTTTCCGCAACCTGATATTTATCCATTATTTTTATCGACTACCTAAGTTCTTAAGGAGTTTCCTTAAAAAGTTTCAAAGTTCATACTATTTAGAATTCTATGTAATTCATACTATTCAGAGATTCTAGTTATTTTTATTATTACCTAGATTTCATAATTATTAGATTATAAACTCATTTTTAGACATTTCACGTCCATGGAAATTCACGAAAATTTTAAAACAGAAAATATAAACCATAAATTCTACGGACGTTTTAGATTTTTAGACGTTGTAAAACAAAACATGATAGCTTTTAAATCGACTTTTATGATTATTTATGGACACAGAGGAAAATTAGAAGTAATCATTTTTAAACAGAAATTACAAATATCCAACTTAATATTATTAAATTCATTACAACTATTTAAAACTGGAATTCTGAACTCTTTTTAAGTACGAATTACTTGTATAAGTTTGACCCGATAGCATGAATACAAAACAAAATATATGCCATTCATTAACTCCACCTAGCGAAGAAATAATGGATTACTTTTCCGCAACCTGATATTTATCCATTATTTTACTAAAAAATCCAATATATCATATTTTACTTGCGGAACATCCGCGATAATATTTATCCAGTCAATAAAATCTGACAAAAATGGTATCAATAGAAAATTATTTTTATTGGTTTCTGATGGTTACTGATGTTGATTGGTTTCTGAGGGTTCAATTATGTTATATAAAATATGATTATTTAATATCAAGGATTAAATATTATATGTAGAAATTAGCACGAAATAAATCATTACTGCTTATGAAGCAATTAAACCAGCCGCGATATGGCAAGTGTTGCTATTCTCAGAGTCATAATACTTCAAATGATCATACATAGAGGTTGCTAAACTTATTCTCAGCCATGTCACCATTCTACTGGACAGAAACGTTTTAATTTATGTTTGGAATTAAAATTATAAATTGCTTAACAATCTGAGGGATTTAAAGAAATAATATTTATTTTATTATTAACATATCTGATACATGTAACACATAATATACATAATCTAAACACTATATAATCTACCTAAGCATTGATTTTGTAAATCTAACACTGCTTTTCTAATGCCGTGTATTATGTACTCCATTACGAAAAAAATTTGTGACGCATAGTTTAAATACGGATTTTTTAACATTTGCACTCAAAATATAACCGTCACTCAGCGCATATTGTGACAGCTCAAGGTGAAACGCTAAGAATTATTTTAGATATTTTTATTTCTCATCATATAACCTACAGCCAATTTTGTTCTCTTTTTGTAGATGTTGAAGACGTTAAACAAAGTTATCTGACATGGAATGTAAGTTACAAAATGTATTAGAGAATAGAGAAGTCTGAATGTTATACTCAAAGAAGTCATGTAAATGGATAAATTTCTTTCATCTTTTCAAATTGAGCAAAAATAAAATAAATACCTACGAAGCAATTAAAAACTTACACTAACATTTTTTTCATAGCAGTGTTTTGCTTTACCATTTCCAATTAGCCTTACTAAAAGAGAAGCATCATAATATAAGATAAATAAATCGAACTACATCGGGGGTCTGAATCATTTTGGTATGGATGTTTGCATGAATAGAACTAAAATGATTTCACACATATAGAAAGTAAAAGAATAACAAACATTTTTTCAGTGCAAAGAGATATGTGGTTTGCATAATAATGAAAGATAATTTCTGTTACTGTTTTTTGTCCCATTTATTACTCATCTGAAACGTTAGGGATCACGCATTTATTAATGCTTCACGACTTCCAATAATAGCTCATTTTCGTGCCACTGAAACTAGTCACGTCTAATTTTTATTATTTAAATATTACTTTTAAAAGCCATTTTTGTGTGGATTGAAGTAACCTGCAAATTAAATCATTGATATTTTCAGAACATATCTCTTCATTTGTGACATTAAAATCAATTTCATTCACATTACTCCATTCGTCTTGCTTATACTAACCGAAACGTCTGTTATCTGAAAAAATATAAAATTAGTAGCAAATCAGGGTCTCGTTCTTGTCTAGAGACCCAAAAAGGAGAAAGAATTTTGGGCTTCGTAAGTTGTTTAGCTACAAAAGGTTCAAAATGTATAACAGTAATAATACTTTAGCTAATTATAATATGAATTAATATTATCTTACTTTTAATGAAATTATTAAACTGTCAAGTAAAATCAACAGATATTTAGTATTAAATTAAAAGATTTAAATTTCTCAATACGTGAAGTTGTGAGGAAATGCACATATTGGCGGTATTAGTCAGTGCTAAGAGCTAAATAATGAGGAAATTAATGAAAAGTACATTTTTATTTGCATTGTTCAAAACAAGTTTTGCTTCTCTGATAAATTTTCTTTTTTCGTATAACGAAGATTAATGCCACGCTGAAAGGTTTGGTTCTTAATGGTTAGTTACATGTCAATACTAGCGAAGAAACGATATTGTGATGAATGGTTTGATTTGGTCTAAGAAGATATAAATGATGTATCTCACCATTTTTTTAATGTATGAATAGTAAGAAATGTTTTTACTTTCGTATCAGTTTGGTAACTTTTAAATCATTCGGTCACCATCAGCTACTTAGGTAAAATCTAGTCTACATGAACTCAAGTCCTGAGTTCATTTCCTCAAGGCTACGTTCTTTAAAACAAATGTTAGAAAGTGTGGTGATGTTCCATACTGGTGCACAGATAATGAGATCGAGTTCCTACCATAATACTCCGCAGTAAATAGAGGCATGCTGATCTCACCTTGAAAAAAAAATTACATATTAAAAGTTTCATTGCCGAATCTATTATAGTAGCGTATGAGTATGCATATTTTTCATTTATTATCTTAGAATTTCAGTTATTTAAAAATTACTTTAAGCTGTAAACATAATAATGAGCATGATATAATTTATTTCTTTTCTGAAGTGGCTGAAAACAGTTAAACTGCTCCAGAAATTCAGCAACATAAAATTACTTCAAATGAATCGAAACATAAAGTAAAAGAAGGTTTTAATTTCTTGTGCACAGCGATTGAATTTACAAATTAAATTGTAAGAACTTCTTTAGCGATTCCGATATATAAATGTTCAGTTTCTGTCTTCAGATACTGCATACCGTATTAGCCAAGGTTTTCAATACATCCTTAATGCGAATATATTGCAGAGTATTCCTATGACAATAAATCATATTCTACTGATTTTCAAATGCCGTGCTATCTAACACATCACCTAGACACTTCATAAAAGGTGCTTTCTGATGCTAGCGTGTATGCAGGAGTGTGTTACTCCACTTAAAAGAAACGTAAGGAATGATGACACACTCGTGCAGAAGGAACGATAGCATAGATGAGCAGAAGGAACAATAATACAGTGGGTTCACCATTTCGTCTACGTACAAGCGAACCGTCATTATGCGTATTATATTAAATGAAAATTTATATTAATTACACCTCTACCCATGATTTCATAATGAAAAGTTCTGTAGCCTTCAGAAATCAATAATAATAGTAGCAGTAGTGATTATTAGTAAAAGCAGTACTAGTCGTAGCAGTAGCAGTACTAGTAACAGTAGCAGTAGTAAGTTGCAGCAGCAACAGCAACAGTAATAAAAGCAGCAATACTACTACTAGTAATAATAATAAAAATAATGGTAGCAAACTAGCAGTTAATTTACTTCCCCACTTCTTAAGCCCTTCCTCGGAGATCATTATTACCAGAATGAAAACGGAAACTGAATGCCCACTACGGCATTCAGTGGTGGTGTTCGGTGCTTAGAATCGTTCAATACTCATTTGTAAGGTTCCTTTAATTTGAATATCCAGTTATTGTATATTTTGAATCTGTACTGTCACTTTTTTCTTTCCGTTTCCCCACCAGAATGCAAATTAGTTGCCACGTTACCAGGGTTGTTATTTTAAATAAGAGTTCCTATCTTCGGCCTTACATTATAATTGCCAGTAGTCCAAATCCACGCCGATGAAGATCTGAACCATATTCTCGTTAAACTGACCTGTGTAGCCTTTGATTATTAGCTTATTTAAATTTAGCTCTACATTTGACATACTTATTTAAGTTTCTCGCCATAAATGGTGGCAGTTGTAAGCATGAGGAGTGTCTTCTGTTCATCTTATTTGGTTTTAAATAAAGGGTCTTTTACACCCTTCTCAAGTTCTTTTTTACTTAAGATTGAACGATAAATTGCTTAACATCTACAGAGAATTTAACTTTGTATGATACCTAAGAGAGTTAAACTTTACAGTGGCACCTTAACTGCAATGAGGAATATGGCTGAAGAAAATCCCACGTTCAGTCCTGACCCCTCAACATATTAAGAAACGGTTTATATTGTGGAAAATTAAATTTTTTAATTTTTTATATGGAAAAAGCTCTGATGCAGAGGTGATTCAAAGTACTTCGCCTAGAATATTACCACAAATTCAAGATTTCTTCCAGGTAAGAAATTTACTGATACTGAAGGTAGTGGTACAAACAAACTCTCGAGCCCGCTGCAGAGTTTGTTTAAGCTCACGGTAAAGTTTGAAAGCAGGAGAGTTGTAGAAAATACGTGTACAGCAGGATAGGGCCAGAGGTTGATTGGGCAGGTGTATAGGCGTACACCACAGGGAAGATATTCCAGTGATTGATGAAAATAAACGTTTTGAAATTAGAAAGTTTCAACCGCGAGTTTCGATCGCCGAGAAAAATCTCAAAAGACAAAACAAATAGAAGGAAGCCAGCAGAATTTTAACTAATAAGGGTTATTTGAAGTTAAG